GTAGTTTTATCTTTACCTTAATACTTTTTAACCTTTTATGGTTTTATGATATAAGTAGTTTATTCGTCGGCTTAACAGTTTTATTTATGGCTATGACTATATGACCATCAATGATCATTATATCGGAGAGCTTCATATTGTGAAGCTCTCCAACATGATGGCAGGAGGTTATCTAGAATAATAGTAGGTCAGGAATCTTAGTACAAAACCCTTTTTTTTTCTTAATCTTGTACAAAACTTTTTTAAATAGCCAGAGCTTGAAGAGGGGGAACTGTGAGAGATTAAAAGCATCTAATTGTTGTGTATTGTTTATCTTAGCCTCAACGCTATTGTGTTTGAAAACTACATTTTTTTAATTTTATAACAAATTTGTGCGTTTTTAAAATACCACCAGTTAACAAAAATACTAGAAATAAAAATGCGCACAATTGGTATAGATAAAAAACCTTCCATTATTTGTAATGATGTTATTATATAGTTAATGATTTGTAAATTTCTATTTGTGCCAATTGTTCGAAAATGCCCTTAAAAACTCAAAAAATGTAATAATTTTAAACTTTAAAAGAGTGGCGTGAGTCTAAATAGTCATCCAAAATAAAAAATTAAAAGTTTTCATTAAGAAAACAATACCTTGGGAGTATTTTATGACACTCTGCATATTAAAATTTGCTCATGAGGGTCAAAATGGCATGAGCTAATATATATATATATATATATATATATATATATATATATATATATATATATATATATATATATATATATATATATATATACAGAGCCGTGGCTAGGCTCCCCCACACACACATATATATATATATATATATATATATATATATATATATATATATATATATTATACAGGCTTGGTCGGGAAGCGGGAGCGATCGCTCTCGATTGCTGACCACGTAAATAATATTTAGTTGCGAAAAGCTGGCTAGATTTTTTAGTCGTTTTGAGAAAATTTTAAAAATAAAAAAAAAAAGCTTAATTGGACCGATGAGAGACAATTACAAAAAAAAAAAAAAAAAAATAGACAAATAAATTATCTTTAAACGCGAAAAAACTTATAGCTAAATAAATTACATTTAGAACATATATTTTCGAAATATCGCTCTTTTATAGTTTTTTTTATAAAATTAGGCGATGTTTTTTATATAAAGTAACAACTTACGATTGTTTAAAAGAGAAACAAATTATTTATTCTTTATTTAACTAAGTTTGCAAGTTTTATTTTTATTTAAGCTGAATTATTTTATAAATAAAAAAAGTTAATTTTTTTAATACCTATTTTATGTTTCACGTAGTTTGAAAAGTTTAACATATTTGAAGCGATTCTTCTTAGTAAGATAAAAAAATGAAATAATTAAATCATTTAATTACTATAGGAATTAAATTAACAAGATGGAAATCAACTAAAAGCGTTAAAAATACTTAATGACCAGGAAGCGAAACTGCTTCACGATATCGCTGATGATGTTTAGTGAGTGGGCTTTTTAATTTTAATTAGTATTTAAAGCAGAAAAAAGTATAATGAGTTTTAAGAATGGCAACTTAAGCGAAAATAATTAGAGTTAGTAAACCAATATCTAGAAACTTTTCTTTATATCTAATTATTTGCTATATATATATTTGTGTTCTGTCGTGACCTCAGGTGCGATGCTTGTTCATCCACGAGTTACTTTGTATGCGTTGTTTGTGTTTAGTAACAAGAAACTTCTTATATGTTTGTTACATAATTAGTTTTATTAACTTTAACGATTATAACTTCATTGAAAACGCAATTATTTTTGTAAGTCTTAATTTAAATCATAAAAATTTATTTAAAAGATACATTACGATAAAAAACAAATACACAAAATTACATTTACATAAAGAATACAATCTCTTTTAAAATAAAAAATAAGAATATACTAATAAAACCTATAATTTATAATAAACTTTTGAAATTTTAACAATTTAATTAATTTAAATTTAAAACATTTATTTTTGTAAACAAATAATATATATTCGTAAAACAATTCTAGAAATCTCAAAACGTAACAAATTGTGAATAATACAATATCTAAAACATTTTAACAGAATACTCTAGAACTTTATTTCGCTTAATCAGTGTATTTTTTGAACCAATAGAATTAGTTTGTTCGTTAATTTGGCGGGTTTTTAGTGTTCGCAAATATTCTTTTTATTCTTTCGTACAAAGATGTTTTGAGAACATTCAAGTTTTTAATGTTTCCATGTATGTCCGTAAAACAAAATTTTTTTGTTTCATAAACAAACTTAAATGTTCTCTAAATGACTAAAAAACCTGGCCAGTTTTACGCAACTAAATGTAATTTCCGTGGTCAGTATTCGAGAGCGATCACTCCCGGTTTATTGACCAAGCCTGATATATATATATATATATATATATATATATATATATATATATATATATATATATATATATATATATATATATATATATATATATATACATACATATATATATATATATATATATATACATACATGTATATATATATATATATATATATATACATACATACAGAGCCGTGGCTAGGCTCCCCCACACACCCCATTTGGGGGGGGGGGGAGGCATAGCCTGGAAGTATTTCGACACCAACAGAAACTACAAATAATTATGATTGTCATTATTTGAATACTAGAGTCAGATAGGTTGATATGTGAGTCTACATCAAATGACATAACAATATCATCTATTTTTCTCAGTGATGATCCTTCTGAGTTGCCTGATGATGTTTCTGATGCACAGAGGTGTGACATTGTTAAACGTTTTTAAAAAGATTGAAATTGATTTTCCAGACAATTTAGAAAGAAGACGATTTTCACAGAATTATTATAACAGCAAGGTGAAGTCTTTGAACAGACATGGCTCGTATATTCTTTGAATAGCAATAAAGTGTTTTGTTTTTGTTGCAAACTTTTTGATATAACTTCTTCACCAATCCGACAAGTAATGAACACTTGGGAAGGCTTATCAAAAATTTTTATATTTCTTTAACTTATTGCTTTGTTACTTTTTTTTCCAAATTAATTTTTTCCCCTCAATTTAGTAATGCAGGCATTGCAAATCAAGCTAACATAGATGAGCAACAACAAAAGTTGCTCATCTATGCAAAGAATTTAGGACAAAGAAACCAAAGAGCACTATTTGAGCAATGACACACAAGACAAGGTTTTAGGAGGTGATTGAATCTGAAAACCTGTCTAAGGTAAAAAAAGCAAATAATTATTCTACTATTTTAGATTGTACACCATGCATTTTGCATAAAGAACAAATGAGCATTGGTCATCTATCAGTGCAGTTTTGTTTTTAGGTGTTCTTTCAAGGTTATATACACTCTTTTCATGTTCTCCTCCTTGATGGGAAATTTTAAAATTGTGCGTGACTATTTCTGTCTAACCACAATCAGATACCAGATAGGAAAGTAGAATAGACTGTGTTAAACCACTTAACTGTTATTTAAAAGAAATCTTAGAGGCACTCGAAAGTTTGGAAGAACATGGCTTAAAAAGAGATAGGGCTACAGCTACAGCCACAGAAGTACAATCGCTCACGGAATATATTAAAACATGGCTTTTTTTTATTATCAATCAATACTTGGTATGATGTTTTATTTCAAATCAACAATCAAGTAAGGTTTTTCAGTCTTCTGCAACCTCTCTTGACATATTAGCTAGTAAAATAAAGGCAACATGGATTTCTTTATGAGTATTGCAAAAATGGATTTTCTGATGCACGTATTAAGGCATCAGAAATCGCAGAAGTATTGGGCATTGAAAAGGTTTTACCAATAGTACGTTTACGAAAAAAAAAATGCTGATTTATTCATACGAATGTGTTGATCACACTCGGCAATTTGAATATCAGTATAAAGCATTTTTTTTTTTCCCATTAATTGATATGTCAATTGCATCAGTAAAAAAGAGTTTTGAACAGATCAGCATTGTCACAAAGCTTAATGATTTGCTTTACTAATCTGAAAGTCTTATCAAAGCCTGTAATAAAAGTTCTTTGTCTATAAATTGCAAAAGTTTGCAAATGAAGCTTGGTGATATAGACTTTGAGGATTTGGAAATGGAGTTAAAACGATTTGTCATAGTTAACAAGGTGGAAAAAAATGCCTCAAAAAAAAAAAAAAATGCAAAAAACTAATCCCAATCTAGTTGTTGCATTACGAGCCATTCTTACTTTATCAGTTACTGTTGCAAGTGTAGAACGTAGCTTTAGCAAGTTAAACTAATTAAAACTTTTCATAGGTTAGTATTAATAATCTTGCTTCATTACTCATAAATACATGTAGCTATATTTCTTTGTATCTTTAAATAGGTCAACAATGGTCGATGAATGTTTGTCTTCTTTAGCAACGCTGTCGATTGAAATCGAAGTTGCAAGGAAATTAAGTTATGAAGGCATAATAAATGAGTTTGCAAGCATGAAAATAGTTGCAAATCCTTTTTTTTAATAGTTTGCAAAGTACTTGTATTGTCTGCATAATACATTAACTGTATTTATAAAACTCTTTACTAGTAAACTCTATATCAATTTAACAATTATAAAATATATTTAATTGAATTTAATCATTAATTTGATTGTTTTTAGTCTTATGAACGGCGATGTTAAAATATTTCAGATACCATGCTTTTTGGGTCTGTAAATGTTATCCACTTTTTTAGAAAGAATAAATAAAAAATTAGGGCCCAAGTTACTAGTTTTTTTTTTTTGGAGGGGGGGTCTAGACCTACTTGCCACGGCACTGTATATATATATATATATATATATATATATATATATATATATATATATATATATATATATATATATATATATATATATATATATATATATATATATATATATATGTATACACCCACACACATACACACATTAATACATTAAATATTAAGTATTTATATAAATTATTATGCTATATAATGTTTTATTTTTAACCTTTAATATAAATATTTATATATAGCTCATATAGAATCAGCACAAAGAACTATTCAGCAAGCAATAGCAGAATGGGAAAAGGCAACATGCATAAGGTTTATTAAAAAAACAAATGAAGAGGATTTTGTTGAATTTGCAGTTGGAATTGGGTTAGTTATTACACTTAAATAAAAAGAAATTGTTACTATTTAAATAATAATAAATTAAATAAAGACCACAATTTTTATTGAATAATAGGAATGGTAATCTTTTTTTCTACACAATAGTTAATTTATTTTAATAAAAGCAAAGAAAAATTGTAGTAGCATAGCTAACCAAGATGAGTTTGCTTCATTCTAAAATTTAAACATTGAATTGGCTTAGCTGAGATTTAAGCTTTTGATCATGCTTTTTTAAGACTTTGATAATCATAAAAGCTTTTTCAAAGCTACAAGCGACCTCTAATTAAGTTGGCAAGCAACCTTTAATTAAGTTGGAAATTAACAGAAAGCAAAGTAGAGAGTTAAAGAGAAAAGACAGCAGACAGATGACTTGAAAAAAATTTCTATCAGTTAGGAAAACATTAAAGTTAGAGAGCATCATATTTAAGGAAAAAACTAGGTGAATAAAAGTTTAACATTAAGAAACATTTACAGTAAAGAGGATGCAATTTAGCTAAATAATTAGTCACACTAGATGGTTGATGGAACAAGTGATAATTTGCTTGAACACTGACTATGGTAATATTAGAGAAAGATATACAATTTCACAACAGTTAGGCAGAGATTAAGCTTAGCTCCTAAACCAGGTTCAAAAAAAAGAGAGGTCTCAGAAGAACTCAAACTAAAGAATAGAATCTGGAGTAAGAAAATGATAGAAGCAACCTTAGCTGATGCTAACTTTGTTATGGATTGTATTTATGGTTTTCATGATAGTTCAATAATGAAAGATAATCTGAGATGTTAAGCGGAAGACTTAGTAAGTGTGTTGTCATTCATTAATATAGGAGTATCAACAATATTGTGATCATTATTAGCAGGAAAAAACTGAGTTTTATTTGGGTTAAAATTCACCATTCACTGCAAGCCCTAATTCGTTGCAGAACAGATATCATATTCAAAGTCAATCAAAAGTTAATTGACAATTTTATTTTCTTGGAGTCAAAAATTGACTTGCATTGCAATCTTAACTTGTGCTGTGTCTGAGAACTTGATTTGTTACCACAGTCTGATCCTTGTTTTCTTTTCAAAACTTTAGGCCATCACAAATATTTTTTTTGAGAAAGGTGTGTCTTTAATGCAGCATGGTACTATCAAAGAATAAGTTCTTTTGAAAGATGTCTTTGAACTGTATGGACACTAAAATCTGCATTAGGCAGCAATTGAGTAAGAATTTGTGATCCTGAATTCTCTATGGATATTTTTTTGTGTTAAATTTTCAACTCTCTCTTATTCCTAAACTCTGAAGCCTTGTTAAACAAGGCTGGTGATCAGAGACAACAAAATTGATGCACAGAGACAACAAGGTTTGTTATTAAAAAACAGATATTATGGCAGTAAAATTATCTTTTTTCACTAAAATTTGCAAGTGGGTAAGTAAAGTTTAAATTGCATTTCAAAGTTTACATAGAAGAACTTTTTAAACCGTTAGACAATCAGTCAAACTAAAATTTCAAAACTCACATAAAAAAGTTAGATACAAACCTAGTATAATGACAATAAATGGCACTCAAAAAACTAAAACACTAAACAGTTTTCCATCGTTAATGAAGTTTATGTTTTAAAATTGAAAAAGTATTGATAAAATTATAGCAAACTATACTTTATTAATACTTCGGACTCTCAAGGAATAATAAGTTCGACTCTCAAGGGAAATAGGTATATTGCCCAACTTAGCGAATGTTCAATTTAGGCAAAACTCTCAGTATTTTGGATATTTTTAAAATGTTCAACTTATCGAGATAAGTGACTTTAAAAGTATCAACAGGATGTCAATATTATTAATGAGGTATGAGACTTAACTATTACTATTACTAACTTACCTATGTCAATATTATTAATGAGGTATGAGACTTACCCAAAACATGTTTTACCTTAAAATCTTTTATATATTAAAGGATCCTTCAGATCCATGTTTAGGTACCAACATTTCAAAATATACTTATCCAAAAGTATCTGAAAATGTATATATGAATTTTTTATTGAACAACGAATTTCGCATCAGCATGCACAAGCTGTGAATTTAGATCACTTTTTACAATTAGGAGTATATTTAGAACAAATAGGGAGTGCACTAATTAAAAAAAGATGGAGGTTGAACATATTGAAAAAGGGAGCAACCACTATTAGAGTTGTAAATTACTGGAAATGAAAAGATGAAGTGAGGAAGTATATAGAGCAAGATAACGATTGACAGATGGCTTAAATCATATGCAAATTAAATGAATCAGGAAAGCAAGATGAAGGAAGCGAATTCCAAAGAACTGATGTTTGAGGGGAAAAACTAGACAAAAACTACTTTGGCTGCAAGAGCAGGTCCAACTATGTTTATAATGCATTTTTGTACCTTGTCTAACAGAGAAAGGGCATCATGAGAAGATCTGCCCCAAATATGGCAACAGTATTCCGTACAAGGATAGGTTTGAGATTTATAGAGATAAAGAATAGAATCCTGAGTAAGAAAGTGTCAAGCATAATAAAGAGATGCAACCTTAGCAGATGCTAATTTTGCAATTGATTTGATATATGGTTTCCAAGAACAATTGGAAGTAAGAGTTGATCCTAGAAGATGAAGGGTAGGTGGTTCATCAAGTACATTACCATTCACAAATATGAAAATCCAGATTATTGCGATAATGATTGGCTGAAAAAAATTGATTTTTTTCTGAATTAAAGTTTACCAGCCACTGTGACCTCATGTTGTAGCAGAAGTAAGACCCTTTTCAAGCTCAAATGTCGCCTCCAAGCAATCAGAGAGTGTTGGCTTCTTATCAAGACAAGTGTAAATGGTAGTATCATCAACAAACAATGCCAACTTAGATGTGAGAGTATTTGGAAGATCGTTATTGTAAATTAAAAAGAGTATTGGGTCAAGGATAAAATCTTGAGGAACCCTTGAAGTTACAGGATATAAAGAAGAGTGCTGTCCATTGAGGACAACTTTTATACTATGATTGGTATGGAAGGATTCGATAATCTTAAAGATGTTACCTGATAATCCATAAGAAGAAAGCTTATTGAGAATACTAGCATGCCAAACTTTATCAAAAGCTTTGGAATGTTGATATCCATATCATAATCTAATATTGATATCCATATAATCTAATATTGATATCTATATCATAATTGAAATCCATATTGATGATCAGAAAGTTGGATTTAAGATGAGAGATTAAGTATTTGTTAATTTAAGACTCAAAAACCTTGCTTATGATAGGAAAGACATCAATAGGAGAGTAATTAAATGAGTCAGACCGCTCTCCAGAGTTTTTGAAAATAGGGATAACAAATGATAAAAAAGACTCTGATAAGCACTTGTTAAATAGTTTTGAAAGTTTAAACCACAACTCTGGAGAAAACTTCTGCAAGATTATAACAAGTATGTTGTCAGGACCACAAGCTGTAGAAGAGTCTAAGCAGGAAATTCCTTTAGATACAGAAGCTAGAGTAATATGAATGTCAAGCAATGGATCAACGTGTTTGTATGCTATATCAGTTAGAATGCAACTAGTGGTTTTATCTATATTATCAAGAGATGATATTGTTGAAAAATTCTTAGCTAACAATTTAGCTTTGTCATTAGGTGAGGTGAAGAAATCGAAACCATACAAGAAAGGTGGAATAACAGATTTGCCTTTGTTATAAATATTTTTAAAAATTCTCCAGAAGTCACGACAGCCCAAATTTTGGGATGATATACGAGATTTTGTAACCTGAGAATAGGGCTTTGGCATTAGACAAAACCTTTTTACAATGGTTTCTAGCAATAGTAAACAGACATTTATTTTCTGAAGAATTGTTTTGCTGATAGATATGGAAGTATTGCTTTCAAATGGAAATTGCAGCAGCACAGAGTGAGGAAAACCATGGAGAAAAGTGAGGCTTGACTTGAAATTATTGAGAGGGAATTAAAGATTCTTCGCCAGCCTGAATCCAAGAAGTCAAGTTAATAGCACATTTGTCAGCAAGAAGACAAAATATTTCTACCCGTGGACCATCAAGAAGAAAATCACAGAAAAAGTCCTGGTCAGCTTTTTGAATTAAAAACACAAGAAATGCCTATCTATTAGAGCTCCTAATTATTTTGTGTAACTTTGGAAATTGAAAAATGCCCTGAAATAAAGTTTGAGTATAGCAGAGTTTAAGTTTGTTATTATAGCCGTTGTCAAAAATATCCCTTCAACTTGAAGTGCAAATTAAAGTTCTTTATTTATTTATAAGTTATTTTTGTATCCAAAGATTAAGAACTTTTAAATCTATAGAGGAAGTTTTGGAAGAGAACTTGATTCTGACTCATAACAAAATATATCTTCTGTATTTCTGGTATAATGTTGATATAGTTCCATATTTTCTTTTTTTTTTAACAACGAAATTGTTAAACAAATTTTATGTTTAAAAATCTTTTTTTATGTCTTTAAAAAACAATTTTAATCAGAAAGACACTAACAGTTTTAAGAAAAACCCACGTTATACTATGTGGTAGTGGTGTAGTGGTAGAGCGCTCGCTTCATAAGCGAGAGGTTCCAAGTTCAATCCCCACCGTGTTCCTGGTAGTACCGCGCTCAACACGTTTCTCCGCGCAGCAGCCTTGTTCGTCAAGGTTCGCGTTTCGGAGTTATAGAGTTGAGAGAGGGTTATATAACCACAAATAAGTAGCCTTCTTGTCTGTAGTGGCCTTCTCGGCCTTAAGGAGGTTTATTAACAAAAAAAAAAATCTGTTGCCATGTTTTTCTATTCCGAAGTTTGTAGGGTGCAGCTTGTTAAAGTATGCAGAACAGTGTGTAGAGACAATTTAAGCAAAGTTTAAGCATGGTTTAACATGGAAAAGATATAAGTACAATATAGATCACAAAGATTAAGGAGATAAGTTAAAAACTGCTGTTTTTTTTTTTGAACTAAAACATAATCTTTTTAGGACAAATTAAAACTGCAAGTTTAAAAAAAATTAAATGATTAACTTACTACAATGAAAACAATTTATTAGTTAAAAAATCCACTCCATCAAGATCCAATAAATTTCTTTAAATAAAATAAATTACAAAAAGATCCTATTATTTTTTTCTTGGAAATTCAAATTTTTAACTTTTTTTTGATTACTAAAGCACAAATCTTGGTAATTTAGTTTCAGTATTGCCAAAATTTTTAAGTATCTTAATCAATAGTTTTTATTTGTGATTTTTCTACTTGCCATAAACAAACAAGCCATAAATGAACTTATAGTCACCTTGAGCCTTCTCTTGAGTGTGCACCTAAGTAGGCTGGAAAGAAAATGTGAGGTTTATAAATTTAAAATTATAATTTTTTGTTACTTGTAAATCACACGTTTTAAAAATAAATACTGTTTTATATACAGGTGTAATTCAGATGTTGGAAAAATAGGAGGCAAGCAAATTGTATCTCTTGGAGAAGGATGCATGTTTAAGAGTGTTGTAATGCATGAAATAGGTCATGTCATCGGATTCTGGCATGAACAAAATCGACCAGATCGTGATGATTATGTAGTTATAAAAACTGAAAATATAAAAGAAGGAAGTAAGTAAAAGATTTTTCAGAATTTTTTGCCATTCAGTGAGATGGATGTAAGAATTTTTGGGATTCTGTGAGAGAAAAGTAAAAGATTCTTTTTCAGAATAATGCAACATGATTTATTTTGATTTGGTATTCTAAATTTTGTAAATATTATTAATTTTTTTTAATGTAGTGTACAAAGATGCATTTGTTAAGTTTTCTCATCAGATTAATTCATTAAAAGTGGAGTATGATTACTATAGCATAATGCATTATGGAATGAAAGCTTTTTCAAAAAACAATCTTCCAACAATATTGCCAAAGAAAAAGAATGTTTTTGTTCTTGGAAATGATCGCCTTAGCCAACTTGATATAATACAAGCTTCACTCCTTTATAAATGTGAAGAAGGTGTGTATAAAAACATTTTTGTCTTTTACAAACTATCTATTATTTAGTTTATATTTATTAATTTTTTTTAATTCAATAACTATCCTTATAATGACAGCCTTATTTTTGTAAATTATCAACTATTGTTATATTGCTAGCTTATTTGTCAGGACTTATTAGAGAAACTGTCAAATTGTTTTTTTTTAATTTTTTTTTTTACTTATAAAGCAAGGCAACCAATTTTTTAGTACTTTAAAACAGCTGTATATATAATTTTAATTAAAGCCTTGTTGTGTGCTAACAAGCCTCTATTTAGTCCATTATACAGACAAATTTTGATTGTATGTAACAGGGGAGTTTCACATTTATTTTACATGAATACTGAAAAGTTTTTTTTTTACATGAAATTTTTTTAGAGTTTATTGAAACAACTTTCACTTAGCTATTCATTCCGTAAATGCTGGTAAAACTAAACACTGTTTTTAATTTTTAATATCTTTTAAGTTTATTTTTTCTTTTTAGATTTTTGAAAAATAGATTTTATAATTTTTTTATAAAAGATGTAGAGAAAAAAAATAAATAAAAGATCAAGAAAAAAGTTAGTTCTACCATAGTTTTATATCTTTTTGATGTAATTGACTTATTTATTTTTGTTTTTAAAGAAACATTTTTTATATTCTTTTTGTTATAGAATTTAAAAATCATGTTTTCTTTACTTTCTCTACTTCTTGAAAACAGTAAAAAATGAAAACAGAAAAAAATTCTACATAAGAAACACAATAATTACACACAGGCAAAAATATAAAGTAACACTAATCTGTGTTAATTCACAATTAACTGTTTTGAATCTTTCAAAATCTTTCCAAGTTCAATGCATTTTACATCATAAAAGCTAATGGTACATTTTGAATTAGTTGTCAGACATTTATGTATTGATTATGATTAAATAATATTTATATAACAAGTTATTAAATTTATGAACATATGCAGCATTAACTAAATATATTTTGCACCTTAATGTGTTATATATAATAAAATAACAATGGATTTAAAAACTTTTTAATTAAATGATATTTTTAGGGGTGCCTCAAGAACATATAATGAGTCCCTAATATTATCAGGAAAAAAATCTTCAAAAGTAAATCATGTTGGGTCTCAAAGGAAGCGAATTAATATAAAAATTTCAAAAATAATCATCATTTTTTAAACATGTATGATACAAAAAGAAGTATGTATGAGTAACTTTAACTTGATTTTTTCAAGCCTTATTTTCAAACCATATTTTTGTATTCTTATTTATATTTTAAGAGAAAACAAATGAGTGAATCAATTCATTTTAAATCAAGTATTTGATAGTTAAAAGTTTTGCGTTATTGAATTTATCATTATTTTATTATTTACTTTATTTTTTTTTTAAATATAAAATCTTTAAAAACAAAAACAAAAAAAAACAATGATAAAAGAATAAAGTTTTTTTTTGGATAAAAAATGATAATTGAATTTTAATTTATTTTTGTAAAATAAATTAAAATTCAATTTTTATTTCTTAAAAAATTAACATGTATTTCAAATACTGAGTTTAAGGAGCTTTAAAGAGTTGTGGTTAAAAATCTGTAAACAATATTAATATAAAGAAATAATATTAATATAAAGAAATAATATTAATATAAAGAAATAATATTAATATATAGAAATAATATTACTATAAAGAAATAATATTAATGTAAAGAAATAAAAAGATAGGAGTAGTAAAGTTATAGGAAAAAAATTCACGATAATTTTTTAGCCCTATTACCTTGGATTTTTTTCAGGATCAATTTTAGGCTTATAGCCTAAAAATGAGCCTGAAAATGTTAATTACAATAGTTAGTTGAACAGAAGAATGATTGTCCAAAATGACTAAAATTGCTATTTTAACCTCTAAAACAATTTCTTGCAAGTCATGGTTGACTGGTTTAAAAAAAATCTGAATTTTGAAAAGCAATGTTCAACAAATATTCAGGATGTAGTTTATGCATATACTAAAATTTCATATAATCATTTAAATTTTAAAAAAGTGTTTAAAATAGTTTTATTAATGATAAGCTTTTATAATTCACTTTGTTGATGAGTATTATAAATTATGGAAACTAATATATCTATTTATTTTTTTGCTTCACTTATTTAGAATATTTGTACTGGTGGTGAAATTCCTTTTTTTAAGTTCTTATTTTATTATTATTTTAATAAAAAAAACTTTATATATTAGTTTAATAATAAAATATTATAATTGCTGTATTTAACTAAAAGTGGATTTTTTCTTTCAATTTTACTTAATTATTTCGTTTGTTTTTCCTTTTACTCTTTTTTTCTATTTTTCCTAAGTTTTTGTCGCAAATTTCAAAAGAGTTATATTTAAATTTAAAATTACTTATTGTGAGTTTGTGTTGTGTTTTTTTTTTTTGGTAAAGATTATATATGATTATTAAAAAAATATATATCTAGTAAAAATCATGCTTTATGTTAAAGTATTTTTTATACTAGTGTTTCTTAAAATAATTGCACACAATTGTTAATAACATTATTTCTAACTAATATTAGCAGTTTTTAAAATGATTTTTTTTTTCATTTAAGTTGTTAACTTAAAAGTTTGATGTTCTTATTTTTTTAATTTTTGAAATTGTTGTGAGTAACTAAGAACATTTCCTTTTCCAACTGCACTTTTGTCGTTTGTTTTTTAAAAAATTTTTTATTTTTTTTGTAGCTTTTACAGCCATTTGGGAAGTCATTGCAATAAATAATTTTAAAATTAATTTTAATATATCAATTGTATAAATAAAATATTGAGGCCTTGGCCTTGGACTTGGCCTTAAATTGTTAGCCTTGGTTATGGCCTTGAAAATTTTGGCCTTGGCCTTGATTGTTTTGGCCTTGGTCTTGCTACTTTTGGCCTTGTTAACAACTCTGAACATAAGTTATTGTTATATTAGCATTTTATAGTATTAAGTATTCAGTTTAAATTTTTTAAATATTTATTAAAAAAGTTTTGTTATTTAAAAAATAATTTCAACAATAAGTTACTTTAGATATTATTTAAGTTATTATTTTGAAAGAAATATGAATTTGTTAATTTTTAAGTGTTAAGTTGTTTTTGTATTTATAAAGTTCATTATGAAGAACTATTACTTAGATAAAAATTAAAAAAAAAAAAAGATTTTGACCATCTTAAAAAAATAATTAACCGTGTGTTAGCTGATCAAGTTGACTGCTCGCATTCCGTTTCTTATTTTCCACACTGGTAATGGCATTCTTAAATTGTATAGAAAACTTTTACTTTTAGATATGGGTTATGGGTTGAAATCATGTTGTTGACATCAAATTATATATAATATATACATATATGTGCATATATATATGAATGTGTATATACAAATACAAACATATATGTAAATATATATATATATACACACACATATATATATATATATATATATATACACACACACACACACACACACACACACACACACACACACACACACACACATATATATATATATATACACACACGTATTTATATATATATATATATATATATATATATATATATATATGTATATACACATATGTATACACACATATATATATATATATATATATATATATATATATATCAGCCCTCAGAATTAGGGTTGGCATTCACCAATGCCGACCTAAAAGTGTTTGAGGTTGGCAAAAAACTGCTGACCTCATTTTTATATTTTATGGTAAAACCATTGTATTAAAATTTTTTTTGCCGACTTGATGTCGACCTCTAAAAGATTGAGGTCAGGAATTTATTGCCGACCTTATTTTTCCGAGGGTTGCATATATATAACATTTATATTTATTTATCATATATTACATACTATGTTTGATATATTTATATAATTACATGTTTGATATATTTATATATCACATCTTTGATATATTTATATATTAGATATTTTGTATTTTAACATGTATTATATTTTTTATATATTTATATATATTACATATTTTATATATTTATATGTATCAGATATATTTATGCAAATTATATATTTTATATATTTATATTTATTGCATATTGTATATATTTTTATATATTACATGTGTTATATATTTGTATGTATTATAAGTTTGAAAAAAAAAATGATTGTTTACTTTTATAGGAGCAAATATAACATGGACCTCATGGTCTTTTTGGTCTAACTGTGATAAATCATGTGGTGGCGGAACACAGGAAAGAAATAGGGTTTGTAAAAAGTTAAACAATGGTAAGCAGCAATGCACTGGTTCCAGGATTGAAAAAAGAACATGTAACCTGCATGTGTGTCCAAGTAAGTTTTACAAAACAATTTTACACCTAAAAAATTGTTTTTAAAAATAAATTATTCAATAAATTTATAGATTGGTCAATTTTCCCAGATGAATTTTCGTTTGGGCATTTAAGGATAAGAAGTAGTAAAATGTTTGACTGTGCCATTGTATATGAGAGAGCTGATTATAAAGCATGGAGCACTTATTCATTCTGCAATGAAGGCAAGCTTTGTTAATTTTTTTACTCATCATAAGCTTAATTATAATTATAATTATATTTTGTATATTTTTAATTACATTTTTCATAAATCTTTTTTTCAAAACAAGAATTAATTTTTTTTCAGGTCTCCGTAGTGTAGATATGAGATGGTCAGATCAAGGTCCTATAAATGGAATGAAGTGTACACAAATCATGGAACCTAAAGAACCACTGCAGAATCGTTGGCATGACAATTTTATATGTATACCCAGTCATTCTCCTTATAATTTTATGTAAGTTATTTTGAAATTTTTTTTTTAATTTCCTACTGAATTTCATTTTCCTACTATTTCTACTTATCATGTTCCTTAAAATTTTAATTGCTAAAACATGAATTATTTTGTTATGAAAATAAATACTACTATGGTCACTATGGTTAAATAAATACTACTATGGTTTTTAAAAAAAAAACAGGTTGTACCTTTTTCTATCATGCTTTTATATGTGAAACAGCTTGGAAACTAGTTTTATTGTTACTTCTATTTATTTATTATACTATTGTTACTTCTATTGTTATTCTATTTTTTATACTATTGTTACTTCTATTGTTATTCTATTTATTATACTATTGTTACTTATTTTGTGTGATGTTAATAATTATTATTGGTACAAATCTTTAAGTTATTTATCAATCTGTAGATGGTCACATGAAGGACCTATAAAAAATCTCCCCTGTTTGCAGTGGTTTGCCAAAGATGGAAAAGATGGTTGGGATAATAACTTTCTATGTGAAAAGAATAATCTAGAAATTACAACAAACCTTCAAGTTAACGGTGCTTGGAGTAGTTGGAGTGCTTGGTCCATGTGTAACCAAACTTGTGGATTAGGGTTTAAACAAAGGATTCGGTTGTGCAATAATCCTACCCCTGAGTTTTCAGGTTTACCTTGCGAAGGTAAAGCATACGAAGATCAAAAGTGTGACAATCTGGTCTGCGGTATATATGTTACAATTATTTATTATTTACATTAATACAATTATCATTATGTTATTAAAATTATTATGTTATTTTTATTTTAGCTTGCGATCGTATTCTTGCTGAATCTATAGGTACATTTAATTCTCCTGGTTATCCTTCTAACTATCCAAACTTTACAAACTGTACATGGATTATTGAAGGAATGAAAGGAAAACAAATTGTTCTAACAGTAGTGTCTATGGATATTGAAAGTAATTTTAAGAATTTTTCTATTTCTTAAATCAAAACTTTTTTGATGATCTAATTATTTGATTTAATTTTTTCCATTTCATTATTTTTATGCTTTTTATTATCTTTAATATTATTTTTTATAATTGTTGTTATCTTTAGTATTGTTGGTATCTTTAATATTGTTTTTATCTTTAGAATTACTTTTAATTTATTAATTTTTTTTTAAGGTTATTTTGATGAAAGCTGTAGTTTTGATTATCTTGAAATTCGAGATAATGGTCCAGAAGGAAAAATTCATGGAGTTTTTTGTGGCAATGAAATTCCTCATCCTATTACTTCCACTGCTTCAAAGTTATGGATAAGAATGATATCAGATAAAGAAATAACTAGATCAGGGTTTAATGCTACCTATGAATTGCAAAAGTATGAATATTTAGACTGTGGCAATTTAATGAAAGGTCTTCAAGGAATGATAACATCTCCAAATTTCCCAAGACCATATCCATCAAATATAAAATGCATTTGGAAAATTGAAGTACCTGAAAACTACTATATTAAAATGAAGTTTATTCGCTTAGATCTTGAATATGATTCTTCTTGCAAACTAGATTATTTGGAATTAAATGATGGTTGGGAGGAAAATTTTAATAAACTACCTGAAAACCAGTTAGGTTTATTGTGTGGATATGATCCAATTAAAGGTGAAATAAATTTTTGGAGATAAACATAAAATAAAAATGTACAGTAAAACATCTGTTGTTTGTATTAATTTTTAACACCTGTAAGTACTTATAATTGTGTTAGTACTAGAATTGTGATTTTTTTTAGGTGCATTGATGACTAGATCAAACAAAGCATTGATTACATTTGTATCAAGTTCTTCAGTTGAGAAAAGTGGCTTTAAGTTGTCATGGAGAGCATACAAAAATAATCAACTGCTTCCGTCAATGTTTCAAAAATCTGCTGTATCAAAAGGTACATTAGTTCCCTAATTCATTATCTCAGAATTTAAATCAAAAATTTAATTTTCAAACTGTTAATAAAATGTTTTTTTTAAAAAGTTATATATATATATATATATATATATATATATATATATATATATATATATATATATATATATATATATATATATATATATATATATATATATATATATACAAATATATATAAATTAGTAGAAAATCACTTAGCAAAATTTTTTCTTATTTAACACTGTGTTTCATCAATAAAGACTCATCAGAAATTTCTGATGAGTCTTTATTGATGAGTATTTCTATCTTTGATGAGTCTTTATTGATGTGCTACTTCTGATGAGTCTTTATTGATGTGCTATTTCTATCTTTTGCATATAGTTACCCAAATCAAACTTTTACCTGAAAATTGTTGACTTGTATAATTATAATACTTTGAGTCTAAATACATGTGGAATTATTTTTTATAAACAAAATTAAGTTTTTGAATTGTAGATTCCCCAGTTCTCTGCCAAAATGAAATTGTAAATTACAAGAGTTTTATTCAAAGGTGTAAATCAATATGCAATCATATGACAATATGCATAGTACATACATAAAACATGTTTCAAAATATTTTTTACTGAGGTTTATAAATTTTTTAAAAATTACATTAATCAATGACTTCAAAAACAATTTAAAATAATTCTTGATTGCTGAATCTGCTAATTTTCATCTTTACCATTAACACTTTCACAATTTTATCGCTGATTTTGCTAACGGCTCATTTTCTTTATATTCTTTGAAATCACCTATGCTTTCGGCTTCTTACGATGTTTCCTTGAATACCTTTTTAAAAAATCCTCAAAATTGTTTGATAGGGTATAATTTTAGGCAATTTGGTGGATTGATTGACCACAAAATTGATTCCATTGTTGATATAAAATTTAATCTTTTAAATAATAACAAGATGCAAAATCAACATTTTTCCCCAAATTTTTTAAAATCCAATATCTTAAACTTTGAGTGAATATTGTTTTGATATTTAGTTCAGAGGAAAAATGATTTTCAAGTAATGCTTAAAAAATCAGTAAGTTTCATTGCTAATTACAATCCATACTTTTTTTCCTCAACTATTTATAAAGCCCCTTTAAACAAAGAATTGCTATTATTTTTTGATGTTTTATGCGTCTCAGGATTTTTTTCCTTATATAGGGTTTACAAACTTGTGGTTTCTTAAACCTTTAACCTTACATTTATTTGTGTTAAATTTTTTAGTTAAATTTCATTAAAGAATTTTGGATTTTGCTTGAATTCTTTCTTTTTCTTTTTAATACAAGTTTTTTGAAACAATTTTTCGATACATATTTTATTTTTTGACCCCTTCCAGCTTTTCTTTTAGTAGTTTTAGTTAATACAGAGCAATTTATCTAATTCAAACTTCTTGACTTTTTATGGTTACTTAGCATTTAATCGAATTATGGGTGTTTTCGAATTTAGGAGATTTAGAAAGATGGTATTGTATCATTGTACGTTTGATATCATGTTAAGCCGGAATTACTAATTGAACAGCAATTCTTTTAGACAACTATTGGTTTATGAATAAAATATGAAAGATGTGTAAAGGCTTTCTTTACACATTTTTTGTTTTCGACACTCTTCATGATTGTTCAATTCAATCTTGCTCAATAAAGTGCACAATTAAGTTTTAACACTTTATTTTTCTAACAAAAGAAAAACTATTGTTTTCTTGATAAATTATGAGTAAATGCAACACACTCACAAAATATTTCAGGGACATGTTTTATAGTATAATAGCTATACATGAAGCTATTTGTACAACAACTAAAAACTGTTTATAAGAAATACAACAAACAATAACAATAATAAACGTTTGTCACTATTGCAGATATAGTACTACAGTTTAAAGAAACCATAAATATACTATATCATAAATACATAATTGATAAAGAATTGATTATATAAATTAAATTTAAAACATAATTATGCAAACTTCTTATTGGTTTTACTATTTTTGCATATTTTGAGTTGAACTCCATTTGCTTTTTCCTTTCTCCCTTTAATTATTATCTGAAACAGAAAGATATTAACTGAAATATGTTTCAAGAATAAAATTCATTTAATTATTACAGGCTGTCCTTTTAGTTGGTCATATTTCATAAATGACAAAGACGGTGCTTGTTATAAGTTGTTTTACGTTTATTTAAACTGGCACGATGCTCAAAAAGCTTGTGCATCAAATATGGCTGATTTAGTTAGTGTAACCAATAATGAAGAGCATAATTTTTTAATGACAAAGTTGCTTAATCGAGATTTTGTTTGGTTGGGCATGACAGATGCAAAACATGAAGGAAATTGGACTTGGAACGACAAGTATTTTTCTGTTTTTTTTTTTTTTTTTTTTTGAAATCTTTAAAAACACTTCCACATTTACTTAAACTGTTTTTAATTTCAGTTCAGCTGCGACATTTACGAATTGGGATTCTGACGAACCAAACGATGGGGGTTATTTAAAGAATGAAGATTGTTCTCTGATGAAACCTAACGGAAAATGGAACGACTATCCTTGTTCTGATCATTTTAACTACGTTTGTAAAAGAAAAGTGAGTAAACTTGACAAATATAAATATGTTCTCCGTAACAGTCTATGTAACATTGAACTATACTTTTTTTTTTGTGGAATTTTTCTACTTATTGTCGCAATTAAATTTTTTTTCTTTAGCAAAACCTTTAAAGAAAAAGTAAAATCAAAGAATTTTGCGCGATTCGAAGATATAGATGAGTTTTTATAAGTAACAAGTCTCAAACACATAAATAATGCATTAAAAAACACTATTGTGACATTGTAAATACAGCTAGTAAATGCAAATATACGAAAATAGTTAGTTTGATGGGGGTGGGGGCATGAATTAATAACAAAGAACATCGGCTTGATATTAAATTATTTTTAAAACTAAACATAAACTGCGATTGAAGGTGAAATTTATTTATACTGATAATAGATTTTTTTTGTTTTGTTTATTTTTATGTTTTTATTTTACTTTTATTTTATTTTATGATCTGTAAAAAATATAAATACGAAAATATTTATTTGTTATAAATACATAAATATGTTTAAATATTTAGTTGCTCTATACGATACTAATGTTGTCTTGTATTGGGGGTAGGGGTAATGGGCGTATTAGAGTTACTGGTTTGAACGACAGTGATAGTTCTTTTTAGATTGATTTGAGCTCATTGCTTTTAAATTAATACTAATAATTAGTGACTCAAATTGCGATGTTAGAATCATGTTTTTTTTTATCTAAACAGCAGTTTCGAGATGAAAAATATCAAACATTTTTTAGAACATTTAAAATTTTATAAGATTTTAAATGAAGATGTTTTCTCCACAACTAATCTATAAACAACTTTCGATTTCATAGTACAAAAGCATTGTGAGGTACCTAACAATTGAAATTATTAAAAAAAAATAAAAAAAAGACAAAACAATTTTAACTTTGCGTGATGTCTAAGTATAGGAAGGGCGTCACAGATATCTTGAAATTATTCACAATACCATACAATAAACGGTAAAAAATGTTTAGTTTTATTTAGAAACTTTTTTAACAGTAGTTATGGGATTGCCTAAAAGCTTATCAAACGAAAGATGTAAGTTCTGAGATTTCTATCAAATCGTGTGAGTAGCGTTCGAACGTCAAAGTTCCTCTCAAGCAAATTAAGGACTCAAGATTCGAAAGGAAGCAAAGCAGTCAAAAAAAAAACATTTTTTCATATGTGTATAATTTGTTCGAATATTTTAAATGTTATTAAAATAATTATTACTACAAATTTGGTTTTCTGTATTATTATGAAATTCTAGTTCATTTACCAGCATTAAAATCAATTTTTGTTTATCACGAATAAAAAAAAATCAATGTAATAGTTTTAATGAACATTACATAAGAAATAGTAAACACGTGCTTTGCAAATGAATCAAAATTGTAAAGGTTCTTGTATATAATAATATTACGTTGGACCAACGTTAGATGCGATGCTCGCCCTATGTCGGATTTCGAAACTGGGCCAACGGTTGGCTGCGACAATGCGGCGACTTCCACGTTGTGGTGACATCAGTAGCAGACCATCGGCCAACGAACTTTTTGACATTGATCCGACGTTGGGCCAACGAAATGTGCTATGGGGTCGTCCATAAATTACGTCACGCTATAAGGGGGAGGGGGAGGGTTGGTAGTTTTGTGACGACTCATACAAAACTTGCTTCTTAAGTGTTACGATTTTGTGACGAGGGTTAGGGGGGGAGGTCAAAATCTGTCAAAAAATACGTGACGTAATTTATGGACGATCTGGAAAATATTATTTTAAATTAATTATTTGATTGAAATAATATTTTCTTATCTGGAAAATATTATATCAATCAAATAATTAATTATCTTGCTATTAATAACATATTTTACAAGAATCAAAATACGGTTTCAAAGGAAATAACTGTACTGAACTTGCAATAATTTAAAAAAAAATGGCAATACGACCAGTAATCTAGAGACACTCACGGGTCATTTGGCATAAAAATTAAAATCTGGTTACACTGTCTGAAAACGAAAAGCTGAGTTTGAAGTTAGATGGTCTCTGCAACATTTTCAACATAAAAAATACGCCGGTTGAATAAAATGATGGGTAAATATCTCTCTATAATGATATAAATACGACTTTCATAGATTCTATATTTTCTTGTTAAAATAGCACTATTTTTGGGGATTTTGTTCAAAATGTTTTGTTCCTATTTGTTCCTATTTGAGTTCCTATTTTTTTGTTTGTTTGCCATCAAAAAACCGCTTTTAGTGGCGATATTTTTGTATACTTAATTTATTATTTATTTTGAATACATAATTTACTTATTAAAAAATTTCAGTTTAGCAAAGCCTCTTGGCATTGGTCGCATATAAAGTATAGAGCCACATATTAGTGGCATTAGAGTCATGTATAAAAAGCCATTAGATAATCAAAAAGAGAAAAGAGTTGTATTTAAATACAACTCTTTTCTCTTTTTGATTATATATTTTTGATTTATATATTTATGTGTATTAATTAATACACATAAATATATAAATACATGGCTTAATATATATTACTTAATATATTGACAGACATGTACGAAATATAAATAAAATCTAATACAGCTATTCACAAAAGTTTAAACGAGGGTGTAATTTTAAAAACAAATCTTTGGTTTTTCTTTAATAAAAATGTAACGGAAATAGATATCAAAATAATTTTTCCCCATTCGGTAACGAGGTTTTCTGATCAAAAATAAATAAAAAAAAATAGGTTTCGACTCATAAGTGATCTCTTGGGAATTTGATTAATAGATAGATGTGAGAAATTAATTGGTGTCAAAAAAGTTTAAACGAGTTTATTAAAATTCAATTATTTGTTAAGTAATTAATTAATCCGTTGCGAAAATTGTTTTAAAACATAAACATAAGTAGATTGAGTGGTTTTCAGTCAATAAAAATCGTCACAACATTATTCAACAGCTTCATATTCAACGAAAATCAACTGAAATCATTGCAAATTTCAAACAATTTCAAATTGCGTGCAAATGGGGCGAAAACCAGTTTCAAGTGAGATCAAATGGCAAATTATTGGTATGTCTAAGTCAAAAATTCACAGCAACGTTCAAATAGGCAAAAAACTTGGGGTTTCTGAACCTTGCGTACGAAAAACAGTCAAAACCTGGAAGCTTACCAAGGACGTCGTTGACATGCCGCGTTCCGGGAGACCATCGAAGCTTAGTGACCGTGAAAAAAGTAGCATATTCAGAAGCTGCAGAGAGAATCCTAAGCACAGCTACAAAAAGTTAGCACAAATCTTCAACGAGTCGAAAAATAAACATAATGGAAGCAGAGCTCGTTAGGCGAACATTGCTGCAAAAAGGTATTGGAACGTACATTGCAGCAAAAAAATCTATTTTATCAATCATGGACCGCCGTAAACGGCGAATATGGTTAAAAGAAAGATTAAGCTGGACTGTTGAAGACTGGTTAAAGTTATTTGGAGTGATGAAGCTAATTTTCAAGTTGTAAACCGCAAGGAAAGCCTATATGTCAAAAGATTTGCAACGGAGAAATGTTCAGAACGGTTTTTGCAACCACGTCGACAAGGCGGTTGAGGTTCTATTGGTATTTGGGGATGTTTTTCTCACAAAGGTATCGGTATGTGTGAGCTGTTCGAAGGCCGAATAAATCAGTACACCTACAAAAATTCATTGGAAACGTGTTTAATTCCATCAATTAGACAGTTCTATGGTAGAAGCAAGCAATTTATCTTTCAACAAGACGGGGCTCCAGCTCACACAGCTAAATCAATCAAAGAATATTTTTTGCAGAAAAAAATAAATGTGATCCCTTGGTGCCCTAGATCACCAGATCTCAACCCAATTGAAAATATTTGGTCTTGGATTGACAATCAACTTACTTACTACCAAATACAATCAACTGAGCACTTAAAGCAACTTTTAAATGAGTACTGGTTGAAGGTACCTCGAGAGATGTGCATAAACTAGTTGAATCGATGCAGAAACGAGTTTACCTTTGCTATAAAAACAAAGGCGGACATTTTAAATATTAACTTGGCATTTTATTTCCATTTTTTATTTGTTTGTAAAATTTCGTTTAAACTTTTGTGCTACTCATTTTTAACATGTTTATGTTTGTAATTAACTTTTTTTAAATTTATATAAATCATCTCATTACAAGTTCACATTTATTCTAAACCAAATTACTTTTTATTTGACAAATAAAAAAAATTAAGTCGACATCATTTTTTTTAAATTTTTTTATTAAGAAAAAAATAAATCTGCTTGATCAAAATTACACTCTCGTTTAAACTTTCGTGAATAGCTGTATATACTTTGCTTTAAAGTTAGTTTTTAGGTTGTTTTTTTAATATACGTTCGTAAAATTATTTATGTCTAGAACAAGTTTTTTTAATAGTATTTTCAGAGATTTTGGGTAATGTAATTTTGTTATTGTAGTATTTTTAGAAATTAGTTTGTTGTAGAGGTAAGGGCAGCGATATGAAATAGAGAAACGTGATAGTTTTGTTTTTAATTTGGTACATTAAAATTTCCTGTTCCTCGAGTATCATATCTATTTCTATTGCATTTAAAAAACTCTTTTGAAAAATGTGATGGGAGAAGTTCAAGTTTATATTTAAGCATGAACAACAAATTTTGACAGATGGTAATTTTATAGACGTTTAGTGCATTAAGATGTTTTAGCAAAGGTCCAGCATGAGTAAATTTATTTTTATTAACTAGAGTTCTTGTTGCATGTTTTTGATGTCGGTAGAGTGTCACTAGGTTGGATCTATGGTTACTTGCTCATGCTATATTACCATACGTATAATTGGTTTGAATAAAAGAGAAACCAAGTTGCTTTAAATTTTTTTGGGGTAAATATTGATCTAGCTTTATAAACCATACAAACGTTGTTTCTTGTTTTAGTATTTAAAAAGTTTATGTGGGATTTCCATGAAATATTCTCATCGATAAGTATACCTAAAAATTTTATTGCTTTGGTTCTTTAATTTTATTTTCTATTTTTATAAATAGTAATATATTTGGTATATTACTATTTATAAAAATAGAACCTTGGGGAACTCCGCATTTAATTTTATGCAATTTTGAATGGATATTTTATCTATAATAACAGATTGCTGTTTGTTTATAAAAAAGCTCTTAAACTATTGTAAAGCAACATTTTTAACGCCTATTTTCCATTTTTTTAAGTAATATAGCATAATCATCAATATCGAATGCTTTTGATAGGTCAATAAAGATTCCGAGAACAAATTTGTTATTATCAAAAGAGCCATTTATTTTGTTTACAAGGTCTAGTATTGCATATTCGGTTGAATGCTGCTTTTGAAATCCTAATTGTTTTTTTATTCAAGATTAGTTAAGTATTTGTATAGTTTATTGTAAACTATTCGTTCTAAAAGTTTAGAAAAAGCTGGAAGAATTGAGATGGGTCTGTAGAT